AGTTCTTCAACCAAGATTTTCTGGAAATTTTTTTTTTCTTATCTCTTGCTGTGTACATGTACAAATTTGCTTACAATTTGCATATTAGTCATACCTAAGGACTGCATTCAACACGGAAACTTTAATTATTATAATCATAAAGTATTATTAAGAGAAGCTCTTAATAAGTCAGAAAGTGTTTTGTCTGTAATCGCAGTTTAAGCCAAGTGCTCCATCATTAAACATAGTTTATTCTTAAATGTCAAAGCCGATATTGTGAAGTAAGAAGAGGTTTTAAATTTGATTTATAGACTGAGATATTTGTGACCAAAATTTTTCATGTCTATGGGCTGATGCCGGTTGTAAGATTAAACCGTCTGCACAGCCTCTTAACATTAGATTTTGCAAACATAATATGTTACGAAATGACAGAGCCTTAGTGAAATAACGAAATTAATAACGTTACAAGACGCACATCGTTTAATTAATTTACATAAAGACTATTCATTTTAATGCCACTACTGGAAGAATTTAGAGCTTCGTAATTGATTTCCAATTTATTTTTATGTTTATAGCGAAGTGAATTTATCTCTTTATTACGAAAAAATAAAATATTTAATTACTTAAATATTTTATTTATTTGTTGCATTTAACCGAAAAATTTAAATATTTTCCGGTTAATCTTCTTATATATATAGATGATATGTATAAGTATATATATGTATATATATATACGAGATTGATTAATGATAATAATAATAAAGATCGAATGGAGGAGCAATCAAAGTAACAACCTATCATTCTGGGGAACACGAAACCGAATCCTAACGGGTCAAAAAATCCCCAGGAATTTTTTGGGGGTGGTCTGTTCGGATATGTCTGTCCCTGTCCCTCACCACCCGGTTGCCGTATTATGGGCCTGGCTGAACCCATAATAGGCCTGCTATAAGAGTTCCTCTTTGTGCCCACACGGTGGAAGAGTAAAAAAAAATAATAATCGTAAAGATTTTTTCACTTTTTGAAAGAGTTTTAGAGTTTTTAGATGATAAAGATCTAATTTAAAATAATATTAAGTGAAAACCAGATATTGGTTATTTAACAGATTTGTTCATTAAATTTAATGAGGTTAACTTTGCAGTTACAAGGTGACAAGCAATTTAAATAACCCAGAAATTGAGAAATATTTCCAATATTAAAAACATTTGCAATTAAAGTTTTGTTAAAAACGGCAAGTATATGTTCAAAGCATATTAAAGACATTAAAATATAAAATATCTACTTTATCTCTTGGCACATAGAATTAGTTCGTGGTGAAAGTTCAGCTATAGCATATACCGCTCCTCTTTTGTATGGATTTAAATGTTTCTGTTTAGATATAATCGTATCAGCAATATCGTGTTAGTGATATGCATGTGAATCGCTACTAGTTTAAAATTTTACTGCTTATATTAGGACTAAAAGTACGTGTTTGAGACCATTACGACAGAAGAATACACTTTAGACAATACTTTGCTTATCTATGGTTACTGTTTATGTCAATGTGGCATTCTGTTTACTAATTTACTAATGAATTTAAAAAGTATCTCTCGGTGAAAATTCTATAGAATAAGCTATTTTCAACATTTCTTGCACAGAAGCACAATAGTATTGAAACAAGAAAGAATATGTGAAACCATGCAAACCATCAGATTTTTATTTTGTTACACAGTTTTATAGCTATAATGAATACTTTGATAATGAATAAATTGAGGATTATAGAAACATGAGGCACTACATAAAATATGCATTTATTACACACTTCTGATCCTAAAATATGTAGATTTGAAGTAGCCAGAATGACGATATTATTTTCGAAATATAAAAGATTTTTACGAAAGACGGGGTGGGACAACTAAATAATATTCACACAAGAAAAATTCGTTGCAATAAAACGTTTGACGTTGAGGGGACGACACTCATTGAGCGCATTATTTACCGACGTTTGCGTTACATTGGTTCGGATCAGTGTCAGCCACTGTGGCTTTGTGAGGGGCAGTGAAATGACCGACGCAATGCTCGCAGCCTGCAGGTTGATGGAGAAACACCGGAAAAAAAATAAACCACTACACGTCACTTTCTTCGACTTGGAAAAGGCCTTCGACCGCGTATCCTACCAGCTCATTTGGTATGCACTCCGCGACCACGAAGTGTCTGAGGACCTCGTCATCTGGGTTAGAATGCTGTACACAAATACCAGCAGCCGAGTGAGTGGTACATGTGACAACTTCCCAGTAAACTTTGGCGTTCATCAGGACTCTGCTCTGTCGCCAGTGCTATTCATTCTCAACATGGACTCTATCACAAAGAATATACAGAACGATGTGCTTTGGACGCTGCTTAATGCCGACGACATTTTGCTTGCAACCACCACTCGAAAAGAGGTACAGTACCAAGTAGCAGGAATGGAGCAACCGTCTGAGTTGCTTTCGCTCGCGCCTTAACATGAAGTAGACCGAATATCTAGAAATTTTTCCAAATGCAGGCACGATTCAGGTCAACGGTGATAACTTATATAAAACGCATACTTTTTGCTACCTCGCCTCAACCCTACAGAGTGACGGGGACATTGCGACGAGGTACGAACGAAATAAATAGCGGCATGGGTACGATGAAGAGAAGTCACCGGGGTTCTCTGCTACGAAAAAAATGCCCATGTACCTAAAATATAAAATCTACCGGACTGTGGTACGACCAATCGCTCTCTATGGTTCCAAATGTTTGTCATCAACGAAAACATCTGAATGGCGTTTCCATTCCATGAAGATGCGCATGGCTCGCAGGACGCTTGGTTTATCCCTCCACGACTGTATCACCAATAACATGATACGCCAACAATTTGGCTTCGCGCCCGTTGAAGCAAAAATGGGAGAGAGACGCCTGCGCTAGTTTGGCCACGTCTGACGATCTGCCAACATTGCTTACCACCTAAAGATAAATGGCCGCCGGCCACGACGAGGGTCGAAGCTACGATGGCAAGACGCTATCAATGCAGACCTAAGGTCTCTGCATCTGAACTCAGACGATGCACTCGACAGAACAAACTGGCGTTTGAAGATCCGAATAGCGGACCCTACATCTATGGGACAACGCTAAGAAGAAAAAAAAGAGGGTACCACAAATGTGACTATTGTTTTCATCATAGATTGCTATACAATTAGTGAAAATAGCAACCTTCATTTCATTTAATTAATGAGAAACCATATCTTTCGTAGAATATCTTTCCACTTCAAAAAGACAGAAATTTATATCTAAAACTGTTTTAAGAGATGAACTTATCAAAAGTTATGAGCATTTGAAGTACTTACACGGCTATCATAAATTGCAGGCGGAAATCTGTGGATATCTCAAGTTCGTCAAAAAAAGAAAAATATGCTTAAAAAGTCATGAAGCTATTATTAAATAGTGGAATTATTCTTACTTTCTTAAATAATAAACTCATACAAAATGTAGTGCCAGAGTGTTAATTAATACTACAAAGCTTGTGTTAAAGAGAAAACATTGAACTTTATTCCAGCAAAGAGTAATCGTTTCTTAATGACTATTTGGAAGAAATTTTTACCAGCAAATTACTCAGATATCCACAGATTAATGTTGAAAAGAATTTATTATTTTTAAATATTTTCACAAAACAAAAAGAATCGTTGACTAAATTAATAGAGAAGATTTTAAGTGTTTTTAAGATAAAATAATCTGTGATTCTTTTTGAGTTAAATAACTGAAAAAAATGTATTTAATTTATTCATAAATAAGAAAACTGCTTCAACTAAGAAATAATATAAATAACGAGCAATTCTTCATTGTGACGTGGTCACAATCCAGATTGAAATTTCTACTCATACTTTTATTTAATCTAAACTCCAACTCAAAGTAGTAGTGGCTTTCTCCTGTACATTATATTTTTCATTTAACAGTATAGTCGTGTTGAACAACTATCTACAGTCGACCCCCCTATAAGATCATAGATACGTTCCATTCTTTAGGAATCCGATTTCTTACGAGTCCTTCCAATCACAGCCCGACACATGTCAAGTTTGACTACGGCTGATTGAAAGGTTTTCTTCCATAAAATTAATCGATTCTAGACTAACCGACTCAACATTTCCAAAATACGTATATATATTTTTAAAATAATCCGTATAAACTACGCTATAAACAAAAAATTGTAGGATTACTTACCGAGTGTGCACCATTCGACATCGCCATTGCTAAAGCTTGTTTTCGTCGCGGAACAGCTCAGCAAA